TATGAACTCAGACTTGTGACACAGTCTGTACCGTACCATGATACCGATAAGGGAAATGATTATATTGTTGCCTTCATGGATATTGGAACCCGCAAATGGTCAATGCATGTGTGGAAACGTTCATTATTCCAAATAAATTCTTCACTACAAGTATATACATAAAGTCAGAATGTCTTTTTGTTTGATGTATTGGCACATTTGCATGATCAAAGGACTCTAAAATATATTTTTGGAAAAGAAACACGTAAAGTTACTTGATCTTGTTATCATTTTATCTCTGTTCAAATAGTGTTCTTATAATTATGAGATGTGCATGTTTGGTTTGGTTTTAAGGGCCAACATTTTGCCTTTGTGCCCTTACAAAATAGTTGATTTTTCTTAAACCTTGCAAGATGTCAAACAGGCTAAAATATATAACTGCAAATATTGATCTAAAATGTCTTCTTTCTTGTAGTAAGACAGTAAATATTGAACGAACACATTTTGAAAACGCAGTACACGTTACACGTCTGTGAAAAGTGTGTTATGTTAGGAATTATGATTTATTTGCATAGCCTCTAATGGACACGAGCAGGTAATATTATACAACTGCCAGCCAAATAGTCAAATCACCATAATTCCCAATACGAGATGACACACATCGATAAATACTATGTTTATTACAAAATGTTATTCTTGTTCTTGTGGGTTTTTGGCATCAATCATACGAAATGCAACGTTTTTAAATCCTATCCACCCGAGTACATTCTTCGCAAAAGAGCCGTTCTATAACGTTTCATTGTTTACAACTTCGATTATCTCTATGCTAGTTGTGTGATTCTTATCAGGTACGATATGTTCAATTAGTATCAATAACACGTTTTGATTTCCCTGGCTTTGATACTAAATTAGCAGGTATGAGTAATAGAGCAGAAAATGTCTTTTAGTTGTTTGTATTAACACAAAGGTATAAGTTTCTAAGATGAATCTATGTTTACACATACCAAGTACCATTTTAAAAAGACGAGTCTGTATGCTGCACTGAACAGAACTCTAAGTCTTTTCATGCTTGATATGTTTCAATTTTCAGGTAATTGCATACAGTATCACTTACCTGAGTACATCATAACATGGCATAAATGTCACTTCAAAATACATGGGGAAAACAAGTGGTTATATAACTGTAGTTATCTTTGGGAAATAATAGTACATAGTTTGAGTGAGTGATTGCGTTAGAATTTATAGTCATGAGGTCGATATTTCAGCCATATTGTGAGCTACACAGTTTGAGATACATTGATATGCCAATGTCGATGGCAATGTGAAAATGTCGATGTAAAAGTAAAGCGTTTGTATGTTTTTATAAATTAAGTTTCTTTTGACGGTGCAGAAAAACGTGCCAACATTCAGTTAGCCTGTGATACAATGTATGCAGCACATGTATGAAACAACGCACGTCATGGGTAGCATGAGTTTGCATACACAATGTGCCTCCTGGTATTCGTGTCCTACAACACACCCTACTGTCCTGACGGACATGCATTCAACTGTAGTTTTGTTTTCGTTTCAGCATATCTCCCAACAACTGTGGCGACAACATGTGATAAATGTAAAAGTGATTATGCTACAGCTATAACCGGTACCCCGACCAATGCAGTAAAATGCACGTATGTTTCCTTTAATTAAATGTGGATATTTCATAAACATAACTTATTTATGTAGATATACTTTCGTCATGTTCAAGTTTGTAGTTTCAAAAGTAGAACGTTAGAGAAGCTCTGGAAAACCGTGAGGTGTAATATCTGTCAAGTAACAGAGTCACAATTATATATTTGCACAGATCTGAAACAAACAGAACTTCACGTTATATCAGATTTTGTTCCGAAATTCCCGAACCGCGAACATCTCTTCTTGTAACCTTGTATAGACTCAGATTCACCGAGACAGTGTGACCTTTGTACAACTAATACCCCCTTCAAATTAAGTATTTTCACTCAAGAAATATGCATATGAGGGACTCGACCAATCGATGAAGCTGTGCATCAGTATATATCACCATGGTAACCGATACCCAGATTATGTGTGAAAATAACAGCTTATGAACATGATACACTCTAAATCAAGGACACACTCTGACCACTGTACCAAGACCAGACTCAATCATCGATCGTGTCAATAGATTGTTTGCAGCTAAACTTTAGTCGAATTTCTGGTTAGAGTGATGGCAATTGAGAAATTATTTCAGCTTGTTACATAACTACAACTTCAGCATACATTCTGGTTGTTTGGTAACGTTAGAAAACACTAGAAAACGTTTTCACCGTTATATTTACTAATTCTACAATCTGTGGGATATGTTATATGTTAATTGAGGAATGTAAAGGTACTTATGATGCAGCTAAGACTTCTGCCGGAGAGAACAATGGAACACAATGCAGGTATATCTATTTTATATACGTAAGGCTACTTCATATGCTTTGTCGTATAACGTATAGGTTTCACAGGTAGAAAGGGAGTATATAGATATCTGCCAAGAAAATGGGGTTACCCATTTGATACATAAGAAGAAGTTGGATTTATTAATGATATTGTCAGTGCATTTGAAAGCGTAAGGTTCTAAGGTTTCACGGGTAGTATTAATCCATCTTACCTGGCTCTTTGACAGTTTGCGACCTTTGGCACTAGAATACATCAAATGTTATTTACCAGAAAGGTTCTCTTTAACAAAGGAGTTTGAGATAATAGATCTGACCTAAATATGTATCCTAATCGGCGGTATTATTTGAAATAAAGTCCCTTACAACAGCCCCGTACGCCAATCATAATGAAGTCACACTTGGGAACAGTAGTACCAGACAGTACCTAAATAATATCGCGGAAATCATAGGTTTTTTAACTTGAAAGAGTTATGTACCTCGAATATCGATCGATAATGTTCGTCTGGCGAATATTATGAGTAGAAATGGTATATTGTGTTCTCATTTTAAGAATAACATTATAATCTAGAATTTATAACATTCAAAGGGCAAATGGAAAAAATATTTTACACTTTTTGTTATATGCTCCAACTTTTATATAATAAGATTACAAAAATATTCCAGATATGGAAGGTGACCATATAAAGATTTCTTATGCTGTGGGACGCAGCGAAGCTGGATCGACATCAAAAAAAGTTTAGAATGGCTCCATGTATATACGTTTGCCATGTTTGGTGTAATTAAACCCAAAGAGGACCGTTTTGACAAGATGGGATACTTCATTATATTCTTTGAAAAGGGGCGGTGGGGTAGCCTAGTGGTTAAGGCTATCGCTCGTCACGCCGCAGACCCGGGTTCGATTCCCCATATGGGCAGTATAATTATTTGAAGCCCATTTCTGCTGTCCTCCGCTGTGATATTGATGGACTAAATTGCCAAAAGCGGCGTAAAACCAAACTCACTCACTCATGATCACTATTCTTTGAAAGTTATAGAAGTCGCTACCAAGTTTAAATAAGAGGTATCTCATGTACTCTGAATCTTTCTCTCAGACCATGAACCGCTTTCTAACATTCACTCACTATCTTTACATTACAAACTCCAGTACCAAACTCAGTTCTTAAATTATTATTGTAAATGTTAATACTAAGCTTAAGTCTAACTGTGACCGCCATATAGCTGGAATATTGCTGAGTGCGGCGTACAACTGAACTCGCTCGCTCTAACTGTGATATTGTAGTTGTGTTACTGTCCTTTGCCGGAGTATAATATGTATATAATATACATTTATATTCTTTATAAATGTCATATTTGTTCTAGTCACCATATGTCTGAAATACTGTCCATGTGACTAAATCGAAACTCACTCACACTGAGTTCTTAAAAAGGTGTTTTACAAGTATTATACTCAGCAGTGTGTTCAATTTCTTCATTGACTTTATTCCTAGCCTAGCTGAACGCGTATGTTGTATATGGACAATGGTGTCGTCTTCACTTAAACCAAAGGGGAACTATTCCTTTCTGTCGCCACAATCATACATAGCTTGCCATTGAACATTCTGCTTGAAATTCAAATCTATTTTTTTTACAACAAAGTTCTAGATCTGTGTTGCTGATTGTATATCTCTTCCACAGTGCACTCGCGGCGTATCTGACTTGTCTGGAGACCTCTGTGAAAGCTGAGGCTGGATGCCCACTAGCAACTGCTGATGCTGCTGCTATTGAGGCTGATTATGGTACCGCTTCTTGTAGTACAGGTATGTTGACATACTTGTATATGTGTAAGACACCGACGAAAACACACACATGATTATTACGAAGAACTGACACGTCTAATGTTGAAATAGCATACTGAGATTTCTCGTATCAAAGTGTCTATTTGAAAGTGTTGAACATGTTATTTTTGCTTGATAAAAACATTGTCAACCGGTTTTGAGCTTCTGACGTACCACGTGTTTGAGCCCAGGTACCACATGTACCATCCTTTTTGAAATGTGTAGACCGCTTACAACCAAAACATACTTGCTCGCCTCTTCACCAATCAGAAACTAATAATTTAATGCAAGGTAAGATCATGATTTGTACTTTGTATATTTTTGTTGTATAGATGCAAAATTTACGGCAACCTGCATTTGTCAGAAGGAATTCTGGAAGACGGACCAAAGTGCCGGTGCTGCAGCTGTATGCAGGTAATCAATGCAAACACGTAGAATGAAACAACTTTCTGCTTAACACAGTGTGCACTGTACAATCAAATAGTGTTCAAACTAGGTAAATCTGTAAAGGTGTGTGTGCCCAGTTTCACAGTTGGCACCCGTCACAAATACACGCAAAGGACAACTTGACCTAATAATAAGTATCTGATATATTTTAGTATTTATTCCTAGTCTATGTAAGATATATCTAGTTAAAAGGCAGATGAAGTAAAATTAGATAAGATGTCAAGCCAAGAAGCATAAATGAAGTATATAATCGCACTCATTATCCCATCGAAAATATGTGCCGTCACGTAACATTGTTATACCAACAGCGCCACCAAGGTTTACATACTGTGTCTGAAGGGGGAAGACAGATGTCGCCTGTGATACGTCCTCAACTGTGGTAACTCTGGCTACTGGTGTAGAGACTAGGATGACAGCTCTGGGGACAACAGATTGTGGTATGTTTAATTTAACCTCTTTAGTTTATTTGGGGCTGCTCACATGTTGTAGAGGGGAGGGTGAGCAGAAAATCCGCCATTTTGGTTTTATGACGTCATCACACAAGTATGTGACCTTTTTTGTGACCTAATTAAACATCAAACAACGTTATGGACTGACGTTTCCAGCCTACAGGACATACCAGACTCATCACTGTTGACCAGAGTCAACATGAGCATAACTTCAAATCTAAGCAATGGCGTAACCCATGATAACAAAGTGGACTGCAAGGAACACGTTATTTGGACCGGAAGTTTTACAGGAGAGCAAATATAAGTTTGTTTTCTTATTCAGTGATACAATTACACCATATATGACAAATGCCAAACCATTTCATCATTGTCCAACCATTTGACTCATAATTCACCCTACTTGAGTTATTCAGTTTAGTGATCACCAGTCATCAACTGCTTACTATTTCCCTTATTTAATTCCGGCCACACACTTAATGACGGAAGCTGACCCCTGAGTATACATGAGTTCATTCATTCTAGGCTGTGCCCCATTCACGTTCAAAATTATCAAGGCTGTCAACAGCCTTTCCATGTACACATTGGTACTGTCTGGCCTTTATACTACAATAAAACACAATTTCTGGCCAACTAGTCTGGCTAACTTTCCGAGCACATAAAGCTGAACAACCCCACATAAAGCTGAACAACCCGAATAAGTTACACCATCTGGCATTTAAAGCATCATACCATCTGTATCATAATCATCATCATCATCATTACCATCATCATAACTATAATGGTGATTTTTATGTTTAGCCATCTCGGACTCTTGTCAGTGTCAGATCAATACTGCTAAAGCGACTGTTGCTACTAATGCCAACAAGTGCACGTGAGTTCAGTCGTTTTATGATCAAAAGATCACTAAACATATTTATTCGTACGTATCACTATAGTATAGATACTAATGAAAACTCCAAACGTACCACTGAGTCAAACTTATAACCATAATGGAATGATATCTACATCAACATGTATGTATTAAATATGTGTAGGACATCTGTGCTTTTGCAGTGATATGACTCTTTGTCTAAGCTTTTTATGAGTATAATTCTTGAACGGTTTCCCTACAATCGCCAGCGGCTGAGGGGAAGGTGTAAATCCATCTAGGGTCCATGCAGGTAGCAAAGGCACCATGGTCCTTCGTAATGGTGACCTACCTTCAGTTGTTGGTGATCTATAGAGCATTTATATATTGTATTGTCTTCCTAAATACAATATGTTTACATTTACTAGCCAGTTTTAGACACCATCTGTGATAATCTAGATATTTTACAATCAGATGACTGGATGAATCAGATGAAATATTGCCGAGGTGACGCTATACAAACTCACTCACTCACTCGCAAGCTCTTGATCGAAAGTCCCGAATGTAAACCTTGATATATACATGTGCACATTTGGAAGTGTACGTATTCCTTGCAATATTTCTGAAAATACCTTGACTGCAATTTCATTAGGTTTCTAGACATAAGCAATATATACATAGATGTTTCTGCAAGTTGTAGGATTTGAAATTGAAGTATAGATGTTTGTATCATAGTGCTTATAACAATGAGCTGAGCTGCCTGAGAACCGCGCAAGCTGCAGGCTGTGACGGCAGCACCAAGAGCGCCGTTGCAACGGCTACTGACACCACAAGAGCTGCTCTGCCAACTGCTGACTGTGCAGGTAATCAATTTCTTCAAAAGTATATACGTATGTGACATATTCATGATATACATAACTCATAAACTTCAAACGAAAGTAGCGAATTTATACTCCAACTATTGGAAACTATTTTAATTGTTCCAACTTATATCTGTGTTGTTGATAGAGCGCCAAGCTAGTAAAATAAGACTGTGCGGGCCAAGGGAAATGACCTGAAGACCTGTTCAGTGTATGTAAATCTGAATAATTAAATGAATAACGAATGATAAAAAATAATTACAAAACCATCCAATAGTTACTTATCAGTTTATTTCATTTGTCTTCTGCTTCAATCTATTACGTAAGGAGCATATAAATTTTAATTGTATACCAAGACACCATGATTAAGTCAAACCATTCCTTTATAAAACCTTGTTTCAGCTCCATCTGCTACCTGCCAATGTGAGATTGCCGCCGCAAAAGGAGTCGCAGGCTCATCCACAACGTACTGCACGTGAGTGTTTGAACCTCATGCAGCTGAATTATCAACATGATCTGTACATGATCCGATTTCAACTGTTCTGGCACATGTCTTTCAGCCATTATTTAATCAAGGTGGGCGTACAACCGACGGGGCGGTGGGATAGCCTAGTGGTTAAAGCGTTAGGTCGTCATGCCGAAGACCCGGGTTCGATTCGCCACATGGGTGCAATGTGTGAAGCCCATTTCTGGTGCCCCCGATGTGATATTGCTCGAATATTGCTAAAAGCAGCGTAAAACTAAACTCACTCACTCATACACCCGGAAAGAATATGGTTTACTAGATCCGTCAAAATACCATCATCACAGCCCATATCTTTTTGCACAGATATGGCCACACATGTGTGATGGAAAGTTTGGAAACGGTATAGACAGACAGACAGACAGGCAGGCAGCTGTCGTGCGGCTGGGCACATGATATTGCAATAGACGCGAAATACATTTTACGGATAATCATCGTCATCACCATTCTCTTCCCACAGAGGTTGCTCAAGTCATATCTTCCCACGTAATCTCTGTTCTAATACGACTATATTTCCTAGTGCTCGTAAAAATCCCCTAGCGGTAAAAAGTCACAACACGAATTATCTCCTTTTTTCTCTCTATCCAATCAGAACATCGACTTACATCCAATATGGTTGATCAACATACGATAGATTCATCCCAACCCGTTTCTTATTTCTTCCTTCCCAACACTTACTTAACTTCATTAATACAAGCAAACGTGCGGCCACCAATATCTCTCCTCTGTCGGGGACTTGTGTTGATGTGACACACAAGACATTTAATGGTTAGCTTGTCCGTCAACGTTGGCGATGGAGACGCCATTGATCCGCCATTACATGACTGAGTTCTGTCTAGAAGAAACTTTTGCGGATCGCGCAGTGGAAGAGGTTCTAGCTTTCCAGAAGCATACGGAAATTACCGAGGCTTTGCGAATGGTCACTTATGAACAACGTCGCTGATTGCACATCTAAATCTGATTGTAACCAGTCTCGAATCCTGGACACTCGCACCATGAAAGGGCCGTATTAGAACAGAGGTTCGTAGGAAGATATGACAAGTAATCTCTTTTGGAAGAGAATGCGTCATCACTCCTTCCCTATTATTTATCGTTTCCCCTATTTGTGTCAGTAGTATATTTCCTGTTAAAAGCTTTCTGTGATTGACATCTTACGGCTTTACAGAACACACTCTCCGCCGACACGTGACTGTGTGGAATCGATGTTTCAGTTTTGATCGTGCACTTTTTTCAACAAAATGCTTATTACTGTAATGAGGAATAAACGATATTGTTTTCTATCCTGACAGTGTTCTGTCTACACTGAAGACCTGCCTCTCTGCTATCACCACCAGTACCGAGGCAGGGTGTACCAGCACCACCCAGGCAGGTCTTGTGACTGACACCGGAACAAAAACCTCTGCCAAGTGTAAGTCTTATTGTATTGACCACGTATTTCAGAATATATTTACTCCTACACTGTTTCTTTTTATTGTAGAATATGTGTTCCTTCAATTCATGGCTGAATATTTCATAATCATTAACTGCTGAAGGGATGGTGTGTAAATCTAGCAAAACACTGCCACGGTCTCTTGTATGTTGATCTTAATTTGGTGATTTTGTTAGCGATTTGTAGTCTCTATTTTAGTGTAGTTTTGGGCATAAGACAACGTTTTAAGGCAATATGCCAGTTTTAAGCCTAAATCTGTGACATCAAGGTTATTTTACTGTCCTTGTCAACAGGTGTTTATGTTTCTTAAGTTTGTTGTATTAATGTATAACCCTCATCGTCACGACATGACTGATTTGATACTGCTGTGACTTTTAATTGTACCCCACTGTTAGTACTACAGTTCCTCAGACTATGCATTTCCAACAATGTGTACATCACCTCCGTCATGGCGTCGGTTGGGTATACGATGTATGGAATATTACTTATGTCACTTTTGTAGAAAAATTAAACTTGTCACCTTTTAATGCTTATATCCTTAGTGTTAGTGCCCAAGGTGATGTTTAAAGTCATAATGACATACTTACACATAAAAGAGTCTTTGGACTCGCGTAAAGCATGTATAATTGGTTACAAATATATGTTCCATTTCGTTTCAGGTGGGAGTGCTGCTGATCACGTGACGTTTGCGATGACTTCACTAGTCGTATCAGTTCTGATACACATGTTCCTGTAACGCCTCTCAATCTGGCCCTTTGACGCTCCTGTTTGTTTGAAATTCTCATAATATACCCGCTGTAATTTATCAATTTGGCTGTTTGACGCTCCTGTGAGTTCGAAGTTCTCATAAATATATCTGCTGTGATTTATCAATTTGGCCTTTTAAATCTCCTGTGCGTTCTGCGTTCTTGTAAATGTATCTGCTTAACCTCGCGTGACATGACGTTTTAATGCATATGTTATTTTAAATTTAAATTTTCGATCACCTTTTTCCAATTTGTATTACTAACAATATGTTTCCAAAATTCGTGTTCAATTTTCAATGCAGAACGGTTTGACTGATTTGAGTATCGACCTGGAGGTAATTTCAAGGAGACTTTCCGAAATATTCAGAAATGTTTGTATGACTGCTATGTATGACGTGGACTATATATTCTATATGTAACCACTGACCAACAATATGTCGTCATACAATTATTGTGATGTCAGAATAAGCATCTTTTGGTCTGGTTTTGTAAACTATTCAGCTTGTATGCTGTAGTCTGGATCCTGATAATCTGAAAGGTACTCACATGACTCAAACCACGTGTTCCGTACCCTAATTTATGTGTTGAGTTAATCCTTGATGGTTGTTCCACTGAAATAAAAGGTACTGTTCACGAAATGTTCTTGTATGTTTAATTGTCTTTTGTATATTATAGGGGCGGTGGGGGTAGTCTAGTGGTTAAAGCGTCCGCTCGTGTTGAAGACCCGGGTTCGATTCTTCACATGGATACAATGTGTGAAGCCCATTTCTGGTGTCCCTGCCGTGATATTGCTGGAATATTGCTAAAAAGCGGCGTAGAACCATACTTACTCACTCACTCGTATATTGTATTTTAAGGACAAATGCAATGCAGTTTGGTAATATCGAGCGCCGCAAGTCGTTGGAGACAGTCGCGTTCTTTAAAAGTGCCAAAGTCATGGCATGTGGTTCGAATCTCAGATTTGCTAATGTAATGGTTTGTCACCACCTGGGGTTTTGCTCTATAGTGGAAAGACACTTTTCTCAAATACTTACTTTTATTCTTGATCAGCACACACGCATACGTTCTAGAAATATTTTAGCCCACACTGTACGAGATAATCTTATGCTTCTTTTGGTTTTATTCGTATGGTTTTGCACTTATTTCTGGCAAAATCGTGGAGAAACATTCCTTCAGAAAATCATCCGTCAACTTTCAGTCAGATGTTGCGGGATTTCGGAAGGTTTCACGGTTGTTATTTTCTATTTGTAATACCTCTTTCTGTACCCTTCATGTAATGGATATATGCCCGTAATAGTTTACAGATATAACACATAGCACGGCAACATACACTTTGTAATCGTGATATATATAAAGGAGTCACAACACCTTCAGTTTGCCAACTAGGATGGCTAAACGTCTTTTACTGATATTGATTGAACAAACATAGGTGATGAATTTGACCAAACACTCTCATAATACCCTTCGAGAAAACTAGGGAGGACAATGTATTGTTCTTGTCTTACTTGTGAAATGTCTACGTACATTTTCAAATATTTTGTAGTTCCATGTGAGGTAATTATATCAATACTGGCATACCAAGGACAAGATAGTTGTACTCAGCACGGGGCGGTTACAGTTGGGTCTGCTCAAATATCTCTCAATAAAACAAAAAGCAAAAGTTTTTTGTGGCACAGAATTTGTGAACATGGAACGTAAGAAAACAAAGCAACTCAAAGTCCCAGATATTACGGGAGCTTCGAACGATGAAGCGTAAGGTGTACAGAGATATGAGATACGTCAATATAGGTTATCACGCGAGTGTGTTTTGGGACGGTTAATATCCTGCATTAGGAATAATCATTGTATTTAGCGAGCCTTGGCGAGCTAAATACATAGTGTTTATTCCTAATGCAGGATATTAACCATCCCAAAACACACGAGTGTGATAACCTATTTATCATACAATGTCATTTTTGCTTTATAACTTTAAAAAATGCGATTTCAAATGTCACAAATCTTGAAACTAAACTTCGTGGAATGTCTATGACGTCACAAATATGTGCGGAGTAATACGTTACGTCACAAGCCCGGTGACATAATTTTCTCCGGGATACGATGACATGTGTCAACCAGGTCAGTGAGACTGACAACCCGATACCGTTAGTAGCCTCTTACGACAAGTATGGGTTACTCAACACCAATTCTAACTCGGATCTTCACGGGTAATAATATTGAAGAGGTGGTTATAAAAATGCAAGACAGCATCATTTTTGAATATTGAATTGCAGGGAAGACATATGAACGCTCAGTTGACAGAAAGGGATTATCCTTGTTTTTAGTACACTGTGGATGCTCAAAGAAACGGAGTACTCTTTACTGAAAATTTCAGTAATTAGACATAACCACTGAGTGAAACAGGCATTATACCTAATCACTGATTATACTTGTTTCCAGTAGCATATACGTTGGAAGGTCTGGGATGATTATTTATTTTGAGTGTTGTCATGTTTTCATTCCCAAGTTGAAACGTAAACGATAACCGGGCATCAGTCTGAACGAGAACGATGTCTGAAACCAACAAACAACAAAGAAATGAGTAATTAAGATGTGTATTTTATAATAACTTAAGTTCCCAAATCAATATAAATCATTACAAGTATATCACTATGTCATCACATACACTGCTTAAGGTGTATTGTGAGATGAAACGCAAGAGCTAACTTTTCTAATGCATCTTTATGGCAGATGATTCTGGAATACGTTCCTTTCTTGTACGCCTACATATAGCAGACCATTCCCCCTGCACGTACAATGTATAACATTTGGAAAATTGTCGCACAACCTATTACAGTGCCTAACATGCACTGTCACTAAATCAAATCAAACTTAAAAAGTAATGAAAGTTCAAGATGAAGTTAAATGTCAACAAAAACATGACCAGTCAACCTCTTTTGATATCTTGCTCTGTAGTTGTTCAAAAACACAAATATTTTCAAGACTGACTTTGACCTTGACATGAATATCATAGTGTACGAAATATGCAAAGATGGTACTAAAGAAATTCCTTATTGAAAAATTTTCAAGGGAAATCTTGAAAGTCTATGAAGAAAATCCAGTAAATTCAGGTTAACATGCTGAAATCTTCAAAGTGTCGCAGTGACCTTGAACATTATGTGAAATTCACCAAAATTGACAGGGGGCCCTGCGCCTTTATTAGATAAAGCTTGGTTTCGAATATGAAAAAAATCCAGTTAATAGATTTTGCGGTATCTTGCTGACTATCTTAACATGCAATTTTACATGATGAAATCTTCAAAGTTAAATCACGGTCGCAAGAATACACTAGTAATAACTTACCTACCCCTGTTCCTCGAAGCAGCTGAAAATGGGAAATATTCGAGAGAGGATATCCAATATATATATATATATATATATATATATCAGGCAACAGGACAAACCAGTCATCAAATTTACCTGGTCTCCGTTTTATTTTACGAGCGCTTCAAAACTGCTACATGTACACCAAACCAACCGCAAACACGGTAATAAGCGAGTATCTCTGACACAGGCACATGCAGTGACCTGTGTGATCTGTCCACACTGGACATTTTTGTAAAATAAGAACCGCATATATTGCTTTGCTTTTCATTTCGGGATTAGCTACATTACCTCGTATTAGTGTATTGTCTTCAATAGTAAACTAGTTTTAGATTTACATCCTTACATGATTTGCATGTCAAACACCATCTGCGTTAAGCTACAGTGCCTTGGTGACTGGATTTTATAGCAACATGCAATTGTTGTATTTGCAAAACGTTTCTAGTCATGGTATGGCTAAACAACTGCCGATGTATACACGTGACTCTTCATGATGCAGTGCGATGATGGAGTGTGTGTCCTGCAACGTAAAGAGAACTATATGTTTTCATCATGTTAAAACGCTATCCCCATTGAATTGACCTTGGTATCATTCTGACCTGTGATTTTAAACCTGCGTTATCTTTATATTGCTCTGATACCATCGGCCCACGCCACTCGGTAGGTCACGCAAATAAAAGGTCAAAACTCTATGACTTATTTTTTAGCAGCAGGGACCATTGCAATTTCTGAAAAAAAATGAATATTTAAAAAAAGTAAAAAATGTTGAAAATGGTTGAGCATCGAACACACATAAAGTTTTCCATATGGACGCCATGGTGACCCTGTTAAACGCCAGATGGTATTATGAATCAACCACATAGGATTTTTTTAAAGTTCGAGAGGGGCTGTCAAAAATGTATAACTAACAAAAGGCAACAGAGTAGTCCTATGATAGGAAAACCAAGACAACCCCTGCTCTTTCATTTTGCGAGAATCAAACATCCCATTCCTATTTCTTTACACACCGCTGTCAGGGTTCACTGGACAATCTCCTAAAATGTCAATGGTTTGTAGAAATATTGAACGTGTACAAAGTTCTAGGCAACCATCGAATGTTTTTGAAAGACTTACTCCTTACTGTAAAAGATGTTGTTGAACGGTACATCCTTTGTTGGTTCACTTCCCGAGTATTTCTATTATGATCGATAAATGCGATTTCTGTGCCCAAATGGTCGATCACCCTTTCTCACTTTTTCCGATTCTAATACTTTGTGAACGATGAGTCCCATCTAGGATTCCAAACCACACCCTGAGAATCAGCCACCTCATCACCAGCACACAGCTGTGGCTTTCACACAAATGTGACGGCAGTCGTATGTGTCACTAAATGGGTGATAATTGTTCATGGCTGCAGTAAGAAGTGTTCCAGATATACAAGGATAAAGTGTATACAATCAGACAACATTGCCATCGAGCCACAGGGTATTCAGTTTAGCCTATCATCACGAGGCAAAACATATCAGAACGTTTCACAGGCCCACTTGGTTGTCACTGTGTCGTAAAATCACCCAACCTGCAAGACAGCCACCAGTATGCTTAGTCGAGATACAAATACTCGATGTTTGAAATTTTTTTTCTTTATTTTCGTACTTGGATTTCATAATAATGTCACGAATCATTGATCGAGTTGGTAACGCGTTGGTGACCTCGGTTTACATATGTTACGTTGTTACCCATAGGGGTAGATGTTTTGCAGGGATGTGCAAGACCTGAGTGGCCCATTTCTGTCAGGTATACTAAACAATACCATGTTTCAGGTAAGTTTGGGTATTGGGCTTTGGTTTCTCCAGACCGTTTGTGCCCAACTGAAAACGAGAAATTGTAAAATATCGTGTGATAGCAGTGCAGAGAAAGATGGCATAAGTGGAGTCGCTCTTTTCCCAGCCCTTGTCGTCTGAAGTCCTTGTGTCACTGCTGATTTCCACAACTATAGGTGGGACTAGCTTAAGTCCATCAAGTGACCACCATCCTGTTTCTTGTTGAGACCTCCCTGGTAACGCAACTTCACGTGCAGTATGTCCTTGCACTCTTCCCACCTTTCTTCTAAGTCCCGAGTCGTCTGACCACTGTCAATGGACTGACTATATTTCCCAAAGCATCACTGTCAGGAATCTATTCCGGGGATGCAAATACCAGTTTACAATGAGCAGACTTTTACCGGATCTACCTGTCCTTGGTGTGTCCCATGTCTGTGCAATCTGTGTATAAGTTTTATATCAGGCAAGATACCACGTTACGGG